GGGGGGGGGGGTGTGCTGACACCACCTCCCTGCGGAACTGCTGGGGGTTCACCGGGATGACTCATTTGCTCACGCCTGAATCGTCACTGAGCGCATCACGCCTGCCTAGCATGCAGCGCTGGAGAGGACAGCTGTGACGCACAGACATCTGCCCGATGGCGCGATGGATCCTAGCCTCCGTGTCCTCACTGTCCCCTCCGGGCCCTCTCCTCTGGGCCAGGCCACACTCCCCTAAGCCCTTGATGAGGGGAAAGGTGCCCATGAAAGTGGGCCTGAGCTTATTTTCTAGCAATTTCTTTCCCTATATTCTAAAGAAGCCGTGGCTGGGTCAGCTCCCCACTTCTAACTTTTCCTCCTTGGATTTCCATGCACAACTCACTGTATTAACAGGCTGAGCTGTATTTTCTGTAAACTCCCATTTTATCTCCTCTAAAATGCACAGGAAGAGCACTCTCCAGAGAACGTGACCTCAAGCCAACCCAGTGGCCTTCGTTTGTGCTTTCTGCCACCCGGTGGATTCTGGCAGCAGATGGGTGGGGTGCCCCGGCCGGGACTGCAGCCCTCCACACTCCACTGTGTGGGAATGCCTAGCGCCTCCAATCCCCCAGCCAGCGGCTCTGCGAAGCGCCCAGCGCCACCCTGATGTCCCGCTCCGCCCTCATGTCCTCAGCACACAGGGAAGGCTGCGTGCAGGTTCAAGAGGCATGCCTCAGCCCCAAGGAATGAAGCTTAGCCGCTCTGTAATCCACCACAGAAAATCCGCTTTTCTTGGCCTGAGATACATATTCAATGACGCGGCAGAGGGACAGGCCCCCAGCAGCCAGCGCTGCCTCATCCCCCGTTCCTGAAGAGGCTGGGACGCCACCAGGAGGCACCAGCAGGCTCGGGCGTGAGGACGCGGCCCTCGATGCAGGTGTGCGCTGTGGCCATGCAGGGCTAGGGCTGCACTCGGGGTCTGGGGACAGCCCCCAAGCACACAGGGAGCCAAGCTGGCCTGTGGGGCAGAGGCCGCTGACACTCCCACGGGAACTTCCTCAGTTATTCCAGTGGTCTGGACTCGCTCTTAAATTTTCACTTTAGGTATTTGTTTTTAAAAACTCAAAAACAGGAATCAGAGGCAGCTTTTTGCTACCTCTCTGAGCAGCGTGCAGCGTCAAGCATGAACAGAGCCCTGTCAGCCTCCAGGTCCCAGAGCCTCGCAGATATTTGTCACTAGGTGGCTGCTGGCTGGGAGAATCCGCAGGAAGCAGTGGGGAAGGGAAGACAGGAAGGAGGGGAAGCACAGACCCCCCTGGCTGATCCCCAGTCTGCCTCTAACCTGCTCATGACCTCGAGTCAGTGTCCTAACGCTTTACTCTCAGTCTCTCATCACGATATCAAAAGGGGGAAGACAACTGCTTATCACTCCTGGGAATGAACCGTTCATTCATTCGACAACCATGCATTTCTACTTTGAACAGAGCGGTGGTGGAGACGACGCAGGCCCTCCTCCCAAGAGGCCCCGGTACTGTGGGGGAGGCAGGCATCGATCCTAGCACAGGGTGACGGGACATATTCGTGAGGTGCAGAAGTAGCGCAAGGGTCAGGCTGGCTTCCTGGAGACAGTGACCATCTAGGTTTTTAAGGAGTGTGATCCAGAGGCAGGCATGTTGAGTTGAGCAGGAGGGGAGGGGCCATGGAGGTTAGTTGAAGAGTTCAGGTATGTGCTCCTTCAAGTACCTTCCCTGACCTCTTCCAGCCTGAGGCAGGCCCCCTCCAACGTGCCCCAGGGGCAGGCAAGCTCCAGCCCAAAGATGAGTTCGGTTTTAACCATATAGTGGTTTCAAAAGAATTTAAATTATCTACTGACATTCACAAACCAGAAAGGCTCATAGCAAAATCTGATTCCCAGCTCCCTGGAAATGCTCCGAAAACCCAGCAGTGCTGGATGGCATTCCTACATGGCAACCATTAGTTCAAGCTCAAAAGTGGCCTGTTCTTGCAGTCTGCCACACTCCCCACCATGCCCTAGTACCCCTCTAATAATACTGAGTCTGAGTTCAGAATGGGGTCCCATTTGTCATCTTGCCTGTCCTATCACTTCCCTTATAGCAGACTGGAAAGGAAAGTAGAACAATTTTCATCCCCATGTCTATCATAAGGACAGGATGTAGGGAGTAGTGGGAGAGCAGAGGAGAGGAAGGGTAGCAAACTGCAGAGCAGGGCCCATGCGCAAGGAACGCTAGTGCATGCGGGAGCTGGCTGGACACGCTGAAGCTTGGGCTGCCCTAGGCCCGCGCAGTCAGACCCTGCATTTTAGCAAGGTCCCTCGGCAGCTGTTGTGGACTGCAGTTTGAGAAGAGCTGGCTAAGCGGATGGGCCTGCAGTCAACTGCAGGGGTTCAAATTCTCACTCTGACGCTTACTGGCTGTGTGACTTGGGGCATGTTACATAACTTCTCTGTTAAAATTGTTTCCTTAATTGTTAAAACTGAACCTCAGCTGTTATTTTTCCAGTTCTCCCAAAGGGTGGCCTGATTATACTTCCCAAACCTCCAAGCGGAGACTCTGCTCCTAGTGGCTCTGTGAAATGCCCCTGCAGGCACTTGCTGCCCCCCACATGGCCTCCATGTACCTATTTTGCAATTTCAGGAATCAGGCTATTAGGTAGCACTAAGTGCGTTCATCAGTCAAATGCCCAGGGAGGAATCAGAGCCTGGTACTTACGCCATCCGCCGTCCAGTAATTCCGAATCTTGATCTTGGCCAGGCCAAAGGCACGCAGCAGTCCCGTGTTGCGGATAACAAAAAAGAGCTGGAGCGGCGGGTGGAAGGGGCACGTCCACAGGGAGAGGTCTTTCTTGCTCTGGAACACCAGCGAGAGAAGGAAGTGGTCAGTGCATTTCTGCCCTTCCCCAAGCACCCCAGCAGGGACTCTTCCCTGATAAAAACCTGAGGCGGGCAGCCAGGCCCCTTCTCTACATAATCCGGGGGTGATGGCGGGAAGGTCTTGAATCTCAATCCACCTGGACTGACCCTCATGCCTGGCTCAAAGCCATCCAGACTGAATTTAAAATGCAGGGGGCTTTATTTTAATCAGCTTTGAGGAAAGCACTGGGGGCAGGGGGACCACTAGAGGGAAGGACAGGAAAAGAGCCACCACTTGCCTTATCTGATAAACCTGGCAAACAGAGTTTTTTATTTTCTTTTGTAAAACTCTGTTGAATTTTTTAAAACTTTTAAATAGAAAAATAAACTGGCTCAGGCGTTTGTTGGGATGGAGCAGTGGTACTGCTGCGGGAGTTCTGTCTCTCTCAGGACCCCAGTGTGCCGTTTCCACAGCCCACCAGCCAGATGGCCAAGGCCGCTCTCATGGCCAGAGGGGCAGAGAGCAGGAAAGCCTCGCTGTCATTCTCGTTCATGCCAGCAAAATTTTGTCATGAGTGCTTTTGATGCTGATGGAAAAGCCAAATCTGGGGACTTTTCTCAGCTAGAGTGGCCTCCTCGCCTGTCTGTTCGGGTGTCTCTTCTACTCTCTGTTCAGACCTAGCTCTCAGCTGCTCCCAGACATCTCCACACTGGCTCAGCCTCTGTGCCTTTGCACAGGCTGGGCTCTGGGTGCAACACTCTTCCTGTCTTTCTTACCTGGGAAGTTCAGCCCAAATGTGCTCTCGTCCCCACTGTCACCCCTTCCCTTGATGCATTACTCTGTCTCCCAGGTGCACCTGCAGCTCCTTGCAATATCTGAGGTTAGCATTTCCCTCAGTGTCCCACAATGACCTGTCTTCAGGTCCATCTCACTATCCCCACACTCAGCTGGGAGCTCTTTAAGGGAAGTGGCCCCGTCAAATTCATTCAGAACCCTTAGTATTTAGCACAATTCCTCAGCACAAGACAAATGCCATAAAAGGTTTGTTGAATGAATAAATGGATAAGTGAAATTTACCTCCTAATATCAGTCCTCTCATTAAAGCTTTAAAAAGATTGTAAATGGAATCTGGCCTGCACAGCTATTTTGTTTGGCTCATGAGTGTTCTTTAAAAAAAAAAAAAGACAAATTCGCTGCCAAACTTGAAGACAGGGGAATTCCACTCCTCCCAGCTGCATTCCTGGCTTCTCTGCAGACTTGGAAGCCGTGGGTGACAGCATGGGGTCCCTGACATGGTAGGTAGGTGCTCTCTGGTGCCCCAGTCTCCACTACTCCCTACTGTTTTACACACATCTCACTTCCCTCACTATGCCTCTGCCTGGCTCCTGCAAGCAACTGAGTTTAGGGTCTCTGCTTAGGGGCTGAACAGTTGCAAGTCCCATGTGCCAATAAGCCACCACCGCATCTCTGACACTGGCTGAAGCTGTCCCTTTTATTAAACAGGAGCATCGCCCTGTATTTAAAAATGTCTCAACAGACTCCTGTCACCAGGACCGTGCCTGCTAAATGACAGAGCTGGGGAAGGAGGAGATTGGCTGACTGGGTCTTGCCGGCCCCCAGGAGATGGAGGCCCAGGCTCCAGCTGCCGGGAAGAACAAAGGTGGCTTGTTCCAGTGACAACAGCCCCTTTCAGGAGGGCGGAGGCTGCTTTTGTTCAGGGGGAGAGATGAGTTCAAGGGGTTCTGACTTGTTCTGGCAAGTTTCTCAAGCTCTGCAAGGACTTCCAGTGCTCTGGGTGGCCGGGAGGGCTCAAGATAGCACAGCTCCGAGTCCGGGGGTGAGCCTCACTCCTGCGCCGAGCTGGGCCTAAAGTGGGTCACCAGCTGCTTGAGAAAGGCAGAGAGTGGAGGCTGACCCTTGGCCGCTGGTGAGAGGGCTGCCATCGATTTCTCTTCACATTTCTGTCAGCAGGAGAAATACCAGGAGGGCTAAGTGGGAATCGTAGTGTTCAAAGTCAAAGAACATGAGTCTGAAGAGAACTCGGGGCCTCATTAGCAACCGAGCCTTCTGATGTTTCCTTTCCACAGACAGACGGAGAGGAGGGCCCGTGGGAGCTGCTGAGGACGGACCCCAAGCGCGGGGAGGACCCCAGCGCGGGCCAGCAGGCAGGGCGCCTTGGCGCTGCCAGTCCTCGCAGCCCTGGGCGGAGTCTGCTGGGACACCTGTGCCACAGTGTGGTCTGCCAAAGCGCTGGAGTGCGGCTTTCACCTAGGCTTTCAATTCATTAATCCTTTTGTTCTAGTCAGGATTCCCCAGGAGCAGGCCCCGAGGCAAGGATTCCAGAGGGAAGAGTTTTTTCAGACAGGGTGGTAGCAGGGGGATGAGAGGGGCAGCCCCTCTGGGGACAGGCAGCCCCTCTCATCCAAACCAGCTGCTCCTGTGGGCACCCGGAGCTCAGCCCCACGGGGAATCCGGAGCCAGTGCGCAGGACGCTCAGAGGGACTCCACCACAGAACAAGGGAGCTGGGTGCTCTCCCCTCCAGTCTGCATGTGCTGCATGCAAGGCAAAGTGGGCCCTGGGGGCCAGAAAAAAATCCTCCATGGAGAAGCACCAGTGCTGGTGGCCTGAGAGGCAGACTGCGGCACCGAAGTGGGAAGGGCAAAGGGGCTGAGGGAGGCACCCACAGCTCTGCTAGGCAAGCGCCCACAGCTGCGGAGTCCATGGTGTGCAGCAGTCACTGAGGGAGATGCAGAGGGATGCAGGGGTCTGGCCCTCCAGGTCTCAGCTCTGTGCCAGAAGGGGAGGCAAACAAGTAAAAACACCAAGAAAAAACAAAGCAGGGATGAGCTGGGTGACAAAAATAAGAGAGAATTGTTAATGGCCAGTGAGAGGGCTATTTTAGAACGGATGGTCAGGGAAGGCCTCCCGGAGGAGGCCACTTTCAACTGTGCCTTTCTCTCCCAGCTTAACCTAACACATATGCACCCACCCGCAGGGAGATGCGACTGGCTTCGGAGGTAGGCCCAGTTTAATACGGCACTGCAATAAAAAAGGAACAAACTACTGACATACACAACAGTTTGGATGGGTGCCAAGTGCTTTATGCTGAGTGAAAAAGTCAGTCTCAAAAAGGCTACATACAGTATGATTCCATTTATATAGCATTCTTGACACGACAAGCAGCACAGAGAACAGATCGGTGGTCACCAGTATTAGGGACGGATGTGGGGACATGTGACTACAAAGCAGGGGCGGGGAAACTTTTTTCTGCCAAGGGCCATTTGGATATGTATAACATCATTCGTGGGCCATACAAAAATTATCAACTTAAAACTCAGCTATGAAAAAAACTCCTAGATTTATTGAATTTTGAGTCCCACCTGCGGTTGCCTTGGCAGGGCCAGACCAAATGATTTTGCGGGCCACACACGGCCCGTGGGCCGGACGCTCCCCACCCCTGCTGTGGAGGGTTGCACAGGGAAGTCCTTTGTGGTGATGGAACCGTTCTGTATTTCAGTGGTGGTGATGGTTATGCAAATCTATATGCGATAAAGTTGCAAAGATCTTATACATACACATAAATTTATGAGTGTAGGAAGGTCTGCGCATTATACCAATGTACCAATGTCAATTTCCTGGCTTGATAATGTACTACGGTTACAGAGGATATTACCATTGTGGGAGCTGGGCAAGGGCATATGAGATCCTTCTGTACTTTTTAAAAAAATGAGCTATGATTCACATATATAAAATCGCCATTTTAATGCGTACAATTCAGCAGATTTTTTAGTATAGTCACGAGGTTGTGGAACCATCGCCACTGCCTTTTCCCAGCACACTGTATCACCCATTCTGCCTCCCCTGAGCCCATGGAACCCCTACTCTACTTTCTGTCTCTATGGATTTCCCTACACTGGACATCCGCTATAAATGGAATCATACGCCATGTGGCCTCTGTGTCTGGCTTCTTTCATTTGGCACAATATTTTTAAGGTTCATCCACGTTGGGGCATGCGGCAGAACTTCATTCCTTTTTATGGCCGAATAATATTCCATTGTACGCACACACCACGCTTCTTTATCCACTCATCAGCTGATGGACACTTGGGTTGTTTCTACCTTTTGGCTGCTGTGAGTAGTTCTGCTGTGTACAAGTTTTTGTGTGAACATGTTTTCGATTCTCTTGGGTAGATATACCTAGGAGTGGAAATGCTGGGCCTTATGTTAGCTCTACATCAACTTTCTGAGGAACTGCCAGATGATTTTCCCCAGTGGCTATACCTTGCTTTCACATTCTCACCAGCGAGGTATGAGGGTTCCGATTGTTCCACATGCTCACCAATACTTGTTTCCCTTTTTATTTTATTTTTTTAAAGAATTAAAGCCATCCTTGTGAGTGTGAAGTGATGATGTATCTTTGTGGTTCTGATGTGCATTCCCCTAATGATTAATGATGTCGAGCATCTTTTCGTGTGCTTGCTGGCTATCTGTATATCTTCTTGGATAAATGTCTATCCAAAGTACTTTGGCCCTATTTTAATTGGATTGTTGTCTTTTCATTGTTGAGTGTAAGAGTTCTTTTCTTTCGGGGTACTAGATTCTTATCAGATATATGATTTACAAACACTTTCTCCCATTTTATAGGTTGTCTTTTCACTTTCTTGATAGTGTCCTTTGAAACAAAAATGTTTTTAATTTTGATGAAGTCTGATTTATCTATTTTTTCCTTTTGTTGCCTGTTCTTTGGGTGTCATATCTAAGACTCAGTTGACAAATTCAAGGCTATGAAGATTTACACCTATGTTTTCTTCTAACAGTTTTAGAGTTTTAGCACTTATATTTAAGGTCTTTCATCCATTGAGTTAGTTTTTGTATATGGTGTGAGGTAGGAATCCAACCTCATTCTTTTGCATTTGGAAACTCAGTCATCCCAACGCCATTTGTTGAAAAAATTATTCCTATCTCATTGAATGGCCTTGGCACCCTGTTGAAAAGC